ACAATTCGATGGTGGGCTTCGTCTTCTCGAAAATGAACTGATTGAGACCCAACAACCAGTGGATAGCCAACAAGCGAAACACCAAAAAATGCTGAGATTCTCTCGAAATCAACAAGATCCTGCGAGAAACCTCTCCCTCTTGACCTTCAAAGGCCTCCAAGAAATGCACATACATGCTCAAAACAGCATGGCACAGAACAGGGTCAAAGGAATGAATCATCCCGAACACCTGCACCTTCAGCATGGAAGGTTGCAATTCCAATGCCAAGGCCACGGGAACTATCATAGACACAAACTCCATAATCCCGAAAGGAGTCATCACATGCGGCCACTCCAGCAAAAATGACAACGCCCTCCTCAACTCCTTCACATTCAATCCCGAACCTGACTCCGAACCTGAACCCGAATCCGTCACACAGTTCGGCGCGTAGAAAGGGATCATCGGAACCGATGTGTTGAGAATCGAAACACTGAGTTTCCGAGCGACGATGCTGTGAATCACCGATGTAAAGAGCAAGAGGTAACACTGCGAAGCGTGAGTTCGTTCGCTCTGGCACAAACTCCACAGGTGTCCAACCACATCGGAGAGCAATCCCGGTTTCCATCGCTCCAATTCCCTCAGGCATTCGCACGCCACGCCGCGCGTTTGCCGGTCCGAACCGAAATTAGGCCGGTTTACAACTGTCAGCAGCAGCTCGACCAGGTTAGTCTCCGTTTCGGCCTCGACGGCAACGTTTTCCGATGTGCAGATGAGAATCGAGGTAGCGGAGACCATGAACTGGTCTTTGAAAGCGGAAGCGGCAACGTCGAGCGGCGCATGGACAACGGCTTTGAGCGCTTCGACGAGGCGATGGAGATGGTGGTGGGATGTGAGGAAGGAGAGAGAGAATTCGTCGAGGAAGACAAGGAGTTGGAGCTTGAGAAAGAGAGGGAAGTCCTTGCGGAGAAGAGAGGAGAGGAGAAGATCGAAGAGAGGATCCAGAGAGGTCCATTTGTGCTGGACGCCATTCTGGAAGTCCTCGATTAGGGTTTCCCACTCTTGAGATGTCAGAGGCTTCGACGGTGGTGGTGGCGCTGCCGCTTTCTCCGCCATGCCGTTCACGCTTCGGCGTAGCTGCTTATCTCGTCACTTTACCCATTAAAAAGAAAAACTGGACCTGGACTCTGGTTACTTTGGATATTTGAACCCGCGACCCAATCCTAAATCCTAACAATACTAATAACATAACTCCCTCAGCATTCGGGTCTGCCGCAGCAAGTGATCGAAGCGAAAATAGAGTAATCAGAAGAGAAATTCATCGTCGCTGTGATGGGTGAGTTTAGTTATGGCTCCTTTTGAAAATGAGGTATGACAGTGTTTCTTTCTCGTGCACACCAAATCACACATAACGCAAGGTTAGTCAAGTAATTTTAAAAAAAGAAAAAAAAAAACTCTCTGGGCAGGCATGCAGGAAAAGAAATAACAATTTTTTTACGAGTGTTAGTATGTGATTGTCAAATATTCGAGCAAATAAAATATGTGAAAAAGTTGTTAAAAAATATTGTTAACATGTTATAGTCCAGAAAAAACCTTAGTTACTAACCATTTTTGTTATGGAAAATAATTTTTTAACAATAATAACTTTTTTACAGCTCGATGGTCCATTTTAAATATACGAAGAGTGTATTGTCAAAAAGTTATTAACAAAAGTTTTTAAGATATCATGGTTTTTGTTATATTCTGGTTTTTGTTATATTCAACAACTTGTGTGCTTGTCTTATAAATTATGGACACCATTTTTTGTTGTCCAAAACAACACCTGTAGCTCCGTTTTGAGGCACACTAAATCAGAGAAAATTAGGGCACACAATTGCTTTGTTCCTCAAAGCCACTAGGAGCGATGTTCAAAACTATCCATTCTCGGTACCAGGGCAAGCCACTGCAGACTGTTCACAGTTTCATCCTCTTGGGTGTGTGCGCTCTGATATAATTTTTTTTTTTTTAAATTTATCTTCTTTCATTTGTTGTGTGATGCTATAATAATTTATATTTTCTATTTTTTTTTGGCTATGTGATGTCATTCTCCTCCATTCACGTATCGTTGTTTTTGGTACAATTTGGTTTTATATTACGTCTTTAAACGATTATGAGATATAATCCGTGTTTTGCTGTATGAGTAACGGGCTTTAAATTATTATATAACCTCAATGCCATATTATTCATGGTGTGTTATACGTGTATGACACAGTATGATGTAATTTCCTTTACTTTTAGTTAAGAGTTTATGTAAATTATGGTGTTTGACAACCTTGGCAATACTGATAAAGGTTCAACTCTATACAAAGTGTACTAAACCATTAAACAAGAAAACATTAATGAAACACTGATCATAGAAAACAAATTCAATCATTTCTAGTGAATAAAAAATATGCATAATTTGATTTGTGACGACATATACCAATTAACTATGCTTTTTTTATTAGTTCTGTCTGATGTATTATTCTGTTTCTAATACAAACACAGCTCATTGCAGTTTATGTTTGCCATCAATGATGATCTCTAGTATTTATTAACTGACCTTCAAGGGAAGGATTCAGTGAGCAATGGTTATAGACAAATTTACTGGATCTGTTAAAGGTAAGAAAACTTTTTCCATCCATAAGTTGTAACTGTGCTTCAACATATATCTATAAAATAGTAAATAATCCTTGTGATGCTTAGGATTTGATTATTTTTTTTAAACCTTCCGTGTACAAATGATCTAATAATTGATATGTTGATCCTAGCATATGAAAGAAATTTGCAAATTCGTGCTGCCAGTGAAACATTTAGGCGATCTCATGATTATGGATATAAGTTATCACTGATTTCATGCAATTCGTTGCTGAGTGGTCTGGAGAAGGAGAATGAAACAGGAGAAATGGAATACGTGTACAAGGAAATGGTAAAGAGGAGAATTCTGCCTAACTTGACAACATTTAATATTTAATACATTGATTGATGCATTCTGCAAAGACGGGATGGTGGAAGAGGCATTTGCAATGCATAAATCGATGCTAGAAGAAGGGATTATTCCAAATGTTTCAACCTATAATACCTTAATTGCAGGTTTGTGCAGGAACCAGAACGGGAGAGCTGCAAAGGATCTTCTTAATGAAATGCTGACCTATGGCCTGAAAGCTTATGTTATAGCATATAACATCTTAATAGATGGATGTTGCAAAGACAATGAATCAAGTAAGGCAGAAAAATTACTTGGTGAAATGCTCAACGTCGGTGTCAAAACTATCCTGGGGGTAAGTGGTAGACAGTCCTTTGTCGCCAAAACTATCCCAAAAAAATCTGAATTAATCACTCTTATTAGTGTAACATAAGGTTCTACTCAAGTCACTCTAAAGTTGGATTGAATGCAAAAAAAAAAACATTTTCTTTTTGTTTTTAGAAGTACACAGCAATTGTAAAAATGGGATGGAGTAAACAACTAGTAAAATGCAATGTGTTAAACTTAAATTAAAACCATGGAACATAAATTAAAGGAGTATTAACTAAACTAATATACAATAAGGTTAATTAAAAAGGGAAAATGAACTAATGATTATGAAACTTGGAAATGAAAGAGATCTTTAAAAACTATAAACCAAAGCAAGTAAACTGACTATCAAAGTAAGGAACAAAAGCTAAAATGGAATAAATGGTTTAGTTGGTGCTTAAAACTAGACATACTTGTGATCAAAAGCCAGATGGGAAGTTCAGTGGGTGCGTAAAACTAGACATACTTGCACCAAATAAATCCTCCTAACTAAAACATGTCATTTATAAACCAAAAACTAAAACCGATGGAAGGAAATATAAAATAAGAAGAAATAGAACAGTAAAAAGAAAAACTTAAAACGTATGGAATCCAAAAACTAATCTCAAATCAATACGATAACATTGTTAAACTTGGAAAATAAAACATGCCAAAATAGAGGAGTCTCATACGTCTCCTCCTCTCAACACTTACAAAAATTAAAGCTAATCTTCCTTGACTATTACATTCATTCAATATGCAAAGAAAAAAAAAACTTTTGCATCTCATAATTAATATCACTCGCCTTAAAATCACAATTCTTCTCAACAAAAATCTAAAAAACTGCAAAAAAAAAGTTATTTTGTCCTCTTTTTGCATGAGAGTGTGTGTTGTTGTCATAACATAATTGGTTTATGTTTTATCTGCTAATATGACATTGCAAAACCCTATTTTAATTCTGTTTGGGCACTTGCACCGAAAGTTGAGTAAAAATCTTTGTCTAGACCGAGCTTTTCCCCAGGTGGCTAGATTTCTTTTCTATTGACTGAGTTTCTCTTTTGACGGTCAAGCTTCTCTTAGTTGCCTGAGCTTAGAAGACAACAAAACAACATGATTTGAAATTTGTATCAGCTCCTAGTATTTAATTGACAACTTTTGGCTTACCTTCTTACACAAGTTTGACACTTCGTCCTTCTCGGACTTTATCTTGGCTGCCTACTAAACTCTCAAGGCCGACCTTCTTCAACAATTTCAAGTGAACCTGACAAACCAATATCAACAATTTAGGAACACGACAACTGAAACTCAATAACTTAACAACACGACACCCCGAACTTGGTAGCTTAGTAATACAACACCTCAAACTCGATAATTAGGCAACTTAGCAGCATCACACTTGAACTCGAGAGCTTAGGAACACAATACTCCGAACTTGATAACTTGACAACATGACACCCCAAACTTGACAGCTTAACAACGGTGTAAATCCTAAAACCTATATAAATCTAAGTTCAAATTGAAAGATAAAAGAAACAAATATACTAAAGGAGTGTAATAAACTTTAATATGATAATAGCAAAGACAAAACAAAAAGAATAGAAAATGCAAAAAAAAAAAAAATT